CGCTAAAGTCGTTCAAATAGTTACGAACTTCGCCGCGCAATTTGCTGTGCGCATCCTCGGACCAACGTTCGTACACATACACATCTCCAAAAGCTGCCCTTCATACCTCGGGATTATTACTGACCTTATGCAGCTTCACCTAAGGTTGACAGACACCTTGATGGCTAACTTCTTCCCTTGGTTGTTGTGATTCAGGCAATGCACAGTTCCCTTCCAAGCTTGATTGGACCCATGGAATGGAAAGGTAATATAGGGATATTATGTTCAGAAATTAGTTCCCCCTTGTATATGCCTCGAAACACTGAAAATTGTTCAAATAACTCACATTACATATGAAACGCGGCTTTTTGTTGGAGAGAAGCTCATTAGAGAGGCTACCCAACGGAAACCAATCAATTCTGTATTAAAGATTATCACAGTAATAATGAAAATTATACCAATACCGAAGGTTGTAATCTGAAAGCAGTTAAAGGTGAAATTGGAGAACAATTGGTTTGATCTAAAAAAAANAAAAAAAACAGCTTTCTCAAAAGCAAAAAAGCAGCTTCCTCCCTCCTGCTGTCTCCTGAGGAGCACGGTAAGGATGATCCATCCTTTTAAGCTCAAGAAGTGTAGTGCCAAGTTTATTTCATTTAACAAGTATTACTGTCGTTGTTTATTACCTTATGTTTATACTGTGCTGTTTATGCCCATTACTCTTACTCGTTTATTCAAATCTCAATTACGTACATCCCTTCCCATGAACGTTCTTTCCCATGAACATTGTAGTGACGTTGTGGTCCCCCCCCCCTATCTCCCCCTTACCCCGTCCGCATGACTTCCACGAAAGGTCGAAAGAAATTTGGACTGTTGCGAAATTTTCAGCTTGGACTTTAGGCCCACTCTTACAGTAAACATCTCGTCATTTGGCCATCTGGATGGCTGCTTTCATAGTCCGCCGGCCTCGGAAGGCTGTAAACAAGGAGACGCATGATCAAAAACCATTTGTGCAAGCCCCTGGTTGTTTGGTTTTTGATCTTTTTCTTCTTTGTTTTCAGCCCTTCGACCGACCGTCTGCCTCCCTCCTACCCCAAGCACTGCCTCGTGGCACGCCGGCCGGCCGGCGGACTACGAAAGCAGCCAATGAGCTCGTGGAGCGAAACCTCATACAACACTATTGATTTGTACATGGCGCGATCCAAACATACTGACAGTTTAAGAAATTCTTGCTTCGTATGGAAAACAAGTGAGCAAATAAAACTCAGACCTTTTCAACGACCACACTGCCAGATCTGTTGGCTTGGAAAGGGAAGACTGTGAAGTAGATACGATGTAGGGCTATAACTAAATTAAGCAAAACCACAGTATAATATGATGAAATAGCCAGGGAGCCGAGAAACTGGAAATACTTTAATGTCAACAGTGTAGTAATCAACTTCCCCTTGTTTTATGCTCCATTGCTTCAATCGTCTCTAACAAGCGAACTTTGTGAAAATATTTTATGTGATACCATTTATTTGGTATATTTTAAACATATAGAAAAGGAGTACAGACATATCCTTTTCCTTGTTCATTCAGTAAAACAATTTTAACGAAGTAGTGGGAAAGAGAAAGTACATTTCGAATTGTAACCCCAAAATCGGTTTTTCGAAATGCAGCCTTGTTCTTAGTATCACTAAA